TCTTCTTTCTGCTTTAATGTATAAATAATAATCAAAATAAAGAAAAAGAAGAGATGAAGTAAAAAAGAAATGAAAAGACAATTATTGAAAAGAAGAGATGGAAGAGAAAGAAGTATGGACATAAGAAATAAAGAAGAAGGAGGGATGATAAAAAAAGTTAAAGAGATGTATTATTCAATCACAAGAACCAAACCAAGTATCAAAGTTGGAGAAAAAGCACCAAAGATACGTGGGAAAGCATATTACAAAGGAGAAATAAAAGAATATGAAATGGAAGCAGAGAAAGGGAAATATCATGTGATTGGATTTTATTGTAGAGATTTTTCAAGAGTTTGCCCAAGAGAAATTAAAGAGTTGAGTGACAATATTGAAAAATTCAAAGAATTAAATGCAGAAGTGATTGGGGTTTCAGTAGATTCAGTAGAAACACACAAAAGATTATGTGAAAGAAAAGATGAAAAAGGAATAGGAGAAATAGAAATTAAATTAATAGAAGATGTAAACCGTCAAATATCAGAAAGTTATGGATTACTTTCTATTATAGGAGTATCTAATAGAGCGACAGTCATTGTTGATGGTGAAGGAATTGTTCGTTCAGTTAATATTCATTCAATGATTACAGGAAGAAATGTCACAGAAATAATAAGTGATTTAAATAGAATAGTAACAAACGATAAAAAGAAGAAACAAAACTAAAAGATAAAACTAATGGATTAATGAAGAGTCATTTTCTAAAATAATCTTAACAACATTTGAAATAACAGATTTAATTTCAGAAGATGCATGTACAGTAGACTCACAATCTTCTAATACTTCATAAATAATTTTATTTGATACTCCAATGATTTTCATATTTTTTGCAATCATATGAAGTGTTGTAACTAAACTATTTTCTTCTTTTTCTCTATATTTTGCTTGTTGTTGTTGATTCCATCCTTTCCAAATTGTAGGTAGTTGTAATGAATAAAACTTTCCATATATTTCTTTCATTGAATTAACCATGGTTTGATTAAATGCTCTATGCCATATATTTTTATTATTCCATATCTCTGCCATTCCAATATCATCAATAAGAAATCTGTATGTAACAGCATCTTTTTTATAACAATATTTTGTAGCAACTTCAACAATTCCTAATGGTGTTTCTATATCTTTATCACTTTTACAATAAGCAACAAGTGTTTTCATTAATTGAAGAAGATTTTCATAAGATTCATATTCAAGACAACCTTTTGATTTCATTTTGTCTGCTTGAGAACTTAATATTTTTAATAATAAATGTCTTCCTGCTTGATTACTTGCACATTGATAAACTTTTTCCATATCTGGAGATGCATTTCTTTGAATATCATCAACAAACCTACCAAAAATTGCATTCCAAATATGTTTTTCCTTTGGTTTTTCTTTGTCCATTTTAAATTTATCAAGTTCATTACAATAATTTTTGTCCTTTTGCATCTGTTTTGTAAGACGAATACTACTTTCACTTTGTTTTAATCTTTTTAAGTCTTCCCAATCAATAGTAAATGCATTAATGTCTTTTAACTCTTTTATTACTGATTGATTTGCTGGTGTGATGTTGGTGATTCGTTTTGCCTTAATATAGAAGTTATACAAATCTGTTAATGAACAATCAAACACTCTATTTGAAATCCACTCTCTGAAAACATTATCAAATCCTTGTTCTTTAATATATTCTAAAAATGTTCCTGATTCACAAAAGTGTTTAATTAATGGTTCACAATCAAATGATTTTGTTAAGAAGAATGAATAAACATCAAAGTCAAATACTTCATTATCAGAAACCCAAACATAGTTAATAAATTCATCGTAACCTTCTAATAATTTAGTAAGAAATTTAAAATAAGCAAGTCTTACCTTGAGATTAAATGAATTAGTAGCAGTTAAAAAATATCTATCATCATAAGGCTCATTTCCTAGTTGATCCATTTTCAAATATTTCTCTTTAAAAGCTTCATTCAAATCTTTTTGTAAATCAACAGTAAGATCAACAGGAAATTCTAACAATTCCTTACTAACATTCATTTCAATCATCCCAGTATCTAAATCAACATCAATATATTCTTCATTTCCTAATTGTTTTTTTGCTATTTCACGATATTCACTTGGTACTCCAGCAATGAATGTATCACTTCCTGATAAAACATTAAGATTTTTATAAGGAAGAATAGCAAAAACTTTTTGTGTTGGAGGGAATGGATAAAGTAATGAAATTAAATTATCAATAGAAGTTGTTAACAAAGATAGATGAGATGAAAAAATGACAATTTTAAGATTAGTCATTAAGAGTAAAAAGAGTGTTGTCATTCCTGAAACATTAAATATAGAGAATAATGGATAAATAGATGTATTAAATACTGGTAATGAATGTTTTACTGGTAATCTTATTTCAATATTCAAATTATTATATTTATAACGAGAATATCCTCCATATGCAAGATATTCAATACACATCATTTCATAGATTCCTTTGATAATTGGTTGATATTTTGGTGGTGTAGAATTTAATGTAGAAGACGATTTGAGTAACATTGGTGTTTGAGTGGTTCTTGAAGGTTGTGTTATTGTCATTTTTATTAAATCATCTCTTCCATCCAATAAATCCATTGTTTGGTTTGAAAGTGTTGGACAAAGTTCATAAATAGATAATAACATTCTTCTCATAATTTCATAAAAAGGATGATATGATACAAAACCAATTGCAATTGGTACATATAATATTTGACCATCAACTTGAATTTCTGTATCACTAATAAGAAAAACATAATATGTCATTTGTTTTGATAAACTTGAAGTAAATAATGGAAGAAAAATTGGTTTTCTTGGTGTTGATGAAACAGTCATTCCATTTGGAAATAATAATGTCCAAATATCACTACTACAATTCAAAGAAGGTGGAACTTTAATTTGAATTATTCCTTTTTGACCAAGATGAATATTATTAATTGGATGTTCCATTATAATTTTAATAAATCCAATGATTGGTCCAATGACACTACTTTTCTTTTCCATTATTGTACTTCTTTTATCTATTGTTCCCATATAATATTGAAATGATTTATCTATTTGTGTTCCAGATGGTTCAATAACATTATGTATTTGAGCTAATAAATCAACCCATTTTCGTTCATCATTTGAAACACTTTCATTACTTCTATCTGTTTTTTGTCGTTTAAATCTACATTGAACACTACCAACTTTTTCATTGTTTTGAATTAAATCATACCATTGAGTAGTTGAGACATCATTTCCTAATCTTGACAACAAAATACGTGCACTTCCTAATTCAATTTTATTCCCAACATATCCATGTCTATTAACACTTACAACAACATCTTTCATATTCTTTTCAATATCAACAATAATAGGCTCACTTTTCCATTGTGGCTCTGTTGTTTTCTTAACTGTTTCTGTACGATATTTGACTTTTCCAATTTTACATACTCCATATGGGTCACAGTCATTTGCTTCAACCTTTAGTAATTTTGCTTTGATAACTATGTTTTGTTAGTTTGATTAACCACCACAATGTATTATCTCAAATTTATTTACCAAACTTTGGACTTCTAATTTATAATTATCGTCAAATATTTCAATTTTCTTTTGTGACATTTCAATCTCTGAAGAATGTAATAAATAAAAAATGTTTTTTCCTTTTTTTCTTTCTAAAAAACACAAACTAATAACAAATTCATTAACAAAAGAATATTATTATCAATGTCTTCCTCCTCGATCTCTCTTTCGTGAACTACTCCTTGATGATTTACTATTATTTCTTCGATAATCTCCACGATAATTTCGATCATCTCTTCTTGAATATTCTTCATCATTTCCTTTTCTTTTACGTGACCTATCATCTCTATAATCTTTACTACTTTCATTATCATCTTTCCTTGTTGTTTTTGTGTCTTCTTTCTTTGGTAATGTATTAACTATTTCCATAAGCGTTACTGTTTCATTTTTTCTGATAATGAATGTTGAATTTATTATTTTCTTTAATATTTCCATTTGGACTTCATCTGGTTTGTTTTCTGCTTTGTTAATAATTTGTTCAAATGGAAACATAATTTCAGACACTGCTTCTGGATATCTTTCATAAAACAAACACAATGCCTTTTGTTTAAGTACTTGGTTTTCAGGTTTTTTCAGCCATTCTTCATTTAAATTAACATTACTTAATTTTAAAAGTACATCTTCCAATGTTTCTTGTTGAGGAAACTCTTCAACCATTTTAAAAATTGTTTCTTTTCTCTCAACATTTTTGAATGCATCCTTCTTTACTTCTTTTTCTTCTACATTACTTGACTCTTTTTCTTCTCCATTACTAGATTCTTTTTCTGTAGTATCACTATCTTTTTCATCTTCTTTATGGTCATCACTTTCACTCTCGCTCTCACTTCCGCTATCACTCTCACTTTCACTATCATCATCATCTTC